TTCAACGTGTGTTGAAAGTAAGGTGTACCTCTCCTGTTTTCTGAGGTTAGCGTTTATCTCTTGCAAAGTCTGTATTAAGTCCTGATTTATCTTTGGATCAAGTTTTAAAATGTGGAGTTACATTAGATTTAGTTACATTAGAAGTCATGCAATGTGATTTGTTTTGGAGCTATTTTTTATGGATCCTTCTGGTGCTTATTCTTCTCTTCTCCGACATACTGAATGAAAGGTCAGAGCCAGTCAAGCTGAAAAATCAACCGATTCTGTTCATCATGAAACTTCTTGGTGCACCTTCGTCATTTTGCATTGTCCTCTGCCTTTTTCGTGAATAAGGAAGTGACTATATTTTGACAATGGAAGGAATGCTAACTGATAGTACAGCTTCCTTGATTAGAGAGATAAATCTGCTAATGGAAATGTAATTATAGAAGTTAATTTTCTTATTTTGCTCACAGCGACAAATGAAAGTTAAGTAAGTCAGGCAGAAAACTAGTAGACTGAGGCCTCAAAGTTTTAAATCCTGACCAGTGTCTATTATTGAGTCAGTCACCTCATTTTAATTAGAAATACTATTGGATGACCCCTTCAGGTATCATTATCATTTTTATCCAAATCCAAATGATCTTGTTAGCAAAAAATTTATTTTTGTGTGCACAGATAAAACAACTGGGAGTCCTGAAGGAGCAATAATAATCTGATTTATCACAGTGACTAGACAACTAGGGCTACATTTGTTCTGTCAATTTCAAATTTTGCTGAAATAATTTTTTTTTAATACCTAGAAGAAGACTGACGTCACACTTCAGCACTCTTTTAAAGTTGATCCTGTTATTTCCGTAAACAGTTATTCAGCAACTGTAGCCGATCTTGAGACAAGATGAAGGAGGCTAATAAAAAGACAGCAGAACTAATAGTGACAGCCCTTACAGCATTGATGACAATTTCTGTAGAGCAATCTGTTTGGTTGTGTAGTCAGAGCCAAGTGATAGTGGAAAAAAAAATCTGGATTGGCCCGTCCTGTCAATATTGCCATGGAAAAGTCAAATATGGGTCGCATAAGGGCATAAAAATCTGACTTGGGTCACATTTGCCTGCTATGTGAACATAGATTAAGTCTCAAAGTACCAAAGAAAGAATAACTGCAAAAGATGTATTTTCCGCTGAAGTCTCTGCAAAGTTCATCTTATTAATCAAATCATGGAGGGCTCCACATGTTGAATTTCTCATCTGTTCATATACCTTAGTAGCTTGGAGGAACAGGTTGAGATCTTTTTGTCTACTTAATTATGTTGACAGGTTCTAGTGAGGTGATTTCTTTATTCTATGAGTCAGGCAGTAATCAGGCCTCTGTGTATGGATGAGAACATTCAGCCAAAAGTTATGTAGTCCAGCAAAGCTAATTGATAATTTAATGAGGGCAGATATTTTTCTCCTACTAAATCCAATCCACGTCTAAAAAAAACAATACAATTAGTTTGGTAGTTTAAACATTTACCTGTGTCAAAAAATAGGAGAAATCTGTAAATGGACCAATACTGTTTTGAGGCTCAGTTTGTGAATTGTAAATTGTAAAATGACAGAGAGGGGAAATAAAGTATTTTGAAATATTCAACCTCCAACAACACTGCGGTGTTGCGGTCTGCTAGTTATCCGTGTTTTATCCTGTCATTTTCCCGGAGTGTTTTAGCCACACCGATCCGGCGCAGGTCATTTTTCATCTCCAAATGACTGAAACGTGCCAGAAAACATGAGGCGGCGAGGACTACCGTTGTGCCACATTTTGTGCTGCTCTGTTATTATCAACAGAGTAAAATATATCCCTCAGCTGGACTGGGTAGTTTTAAGAGCTTAACAGAAAGCCCCGAAGAGCTTGACATGGGCACCATTTAGTGGGACAAATGGTTTTCCTCCGGTGTTTCCTTGCGTATTAGCCGTGACATCGCCGGAAAGTTTGGGCGCTGAGGCCGATTGCGACGCCGGGGGTGTTTTCCCAGATTATCGGACGGCTCCACTTCTAACTTTCTCCGACCGTGTGTGCGCGTGCTAAACTCTGGGCTACGTGAAATCTGTGTTATTCTTATGCTAATCAGCCTGCCTGAAACCTTTGGCCACAAACTCAGAGTGAAATCACACGCGCACATGTCCTTCCTTTTGCTACAGTAAAAGGGAAAGGGCTCGAGCTGTAACCTCTCATTCTGAAGGATATGAATAGCTTGTGTCTCCAGCCGCAGCTCGGTTAGCCTAAGTCTGGGACTTATTATAGTGCTGTGTTTATGCATGTGTCTCTCTCTGCATGTATTTGTTCAAGGGCAATCCCGTGTCACACCCGCGCGCGAGCGTATTTGTGTGCATATGTTAATGCTTAAGCAAGCTAATGTCTGTTTGAGTTCCCTCCGAATTGTTTATCGCACATGCCAGTTTCAATAAGTTTACATTTTTTCTTGCCGGCTACGAGCAAAGTTTGTTCCCGTTTTTTCTTTCTTTTTTTTTTTTTTTGGGGGGGGGGGATGGGGGGGTGCACGTTCGCTCCAGCTCAAGGTAACGCTAGGAAAGTTCTGGAAAACAGGATTACTTCCCCCTGTGTTCCTCTTTCCGGTAAGTTGCAGAGTAAAACTTAGCGAATGAAGTTTCTCACCTCCAGCGGATTGAGTTATTTTCATTTCCCTGCAGATTTTTAGCCTCAGCCTAACAAGTTTTTTCTTTCTTTCTTTCTTTTTTTTTTACTCGATTCCAAGGATTTAAATTTTCCCACTTTGTACCAGTTTAGATGCAAAGCTAATACCTGGTGGTTTGTGAGCCAGGCAGAACTCCCACCCTGACCCAGATTTCCCTGCTTTCAGGTTTCCCTCCCTTCCATGTTGTCTGGCCTGCCTGCTTCAAATGACTCTAGAACTGCCCTGGTTGCTCATTCAGAGCCTCTGCCGGTGCATCCTGTAGCATACAAATGAACTGCGCTGAATAGGAACAAACTCTGGATATAAACACTTTAGCTATGCAACACAGAGGCCTTAGTGTGGCCAGGGTGCGTCTGGATGATGGCAGATGCGTGGTCTGCCTTCTGTCCTGCTGCACACCAAGTTGTGAATATTTGTAAAGTTGATCATCTGCCATTTTATTTCTCACAGCACGCCTGTTGGTTTATGACAATGTATTAATAACTTGCACTTTGTAAATTAGCTCAGGTTTAGTCAGATTGGGTGGAGAGTGCCTGTATTTAGTTTTCAAGTCTTGCCACAGGTTCTCAGTTTGGATTTGGGTCTGGACTTTGGGCCATTTTTCATCACTGTTTGCTGTGTTCCTCAAGTCTTCATGATGCTCTTTGTTCACAAATATTCTCTAACAATTCTCATAGAATAATTTTATTTATATTTATATACAGTTCACATGTAGCTGGATATCTGGGAAAGTAAATACGTTTTTATGCGTTTTGGCCTTTCCTCCACATGAAAACTCTTGTTTTATACTAAAGACGATTATTTATGAACCCTTAAACCAAAGTGGAGATTTGAGAAAACTCTTGTGTTTCTTGTCTTGTGTTTAATTCACTTTATATTCCAATAAACTGTTTAAAAGTAGTTCAACCTATATATCTGTCCACAAAATGAACCTCTTAAAGATGTGTAATTCCTAACAGGAAGTTATGGGTTCTTTGAAGCAACTCATAGGCTATCATAGGTTTTAGCTTTGTGCTACGCTGCCCCCTACAGGTTTGGCATGTTTAAAACAATGCTCAGTGGCGTGTTTGTGTGGGTTCATGTGGATGAAAACTTTTCTAAAACCGATTGCATGTGTACAATATTATTTTTCAAATCGGTGTGGCGGAGATGTTTGTTTTTATAAGAACCTGGCTACGATTATTTACTCACAGGCGGGCTCTTTTTACCCACTTCTATTTGTAAGCAATTGGTTCAAACAATTTTTTTTAAGAGTCCCAATGAATGCCACACTTCTCAGATTTAGAAATTCAGCAAATAATGTGTCTTTTTGTTTCCACTTCACTGTGATGTGCTGCTTTGTGTTGACCAGGCCAGGGCCGGATATACAAGCATGTGGGCCCCTGGGCTTCACTAAAGAATGTTTTTTTTCTAGTGCAAATTACATTACAATAATAGGTAGTTCTATACATAATTCATTATGAATCGATTGGTAGGTTTAATACGTCCCTTCGCCAGTAGCTCCAAAAATGACTATAACTTTATAATTTTCAAATATGGCTGGGTTTTTTTTGTTTATTTTAATAAAAATCCCGAAATAGTATTACATATCACTTGATAATGGGCTTATTAAGTGAATCTGAAAACCATTCATTCATGAAGATTTTTTTTCTAAAAATCTGTGGGGTGCCCCCACAAAAATTGGGGCCATGGGCCAGTGGCCTTGTAAACCCTATCCGAAGTGGGTGGCACATAGAATTCAAAAAAGTTTATATTCATTCTTGTAATGTAAAAAATAAGCATAAAACTGGTTAAAAGGGTGTGAATAATTTAGCAAAGAATTGTATAGATGGCTTCCTACTGAGTTTGTGCATTATCAGACTGTGTGTGAATGCTTTTTGCTGAATCAGTGCACAGCAACAGAAAAGTGACGAGGCAGGTGAAATGGCATGGCGGCAGGAAATGCTGTTGTGTCTGAGCATTATGCGAGTTGTGCCAAAGCGAAACACTTTTCTCCTCATTATATAGTAAGGTTGACGGCTGGCGGGGCGAGGCCTCGGAACGGCACCGCTCTGCACACGGGCACGGCCGGGCAGCGCGCTCTATTTGCGCAACACGTCTGGACTGCAAAGATGAATAGATTGTCTGCTGATGGGACTTGGAGGAACGGGGGTGGAGGAGCCGGGGGGGTTGGGGTGGGTTATGCAGGTCAAGAGGGATGAGGGGGATTTTTACAAAATCTGTTTCTGCAGCATTGCAAGCAGGTTTCCTGTGTCTTTCTAAGTTGCGTGATTGTAAATGCCTTGTCACTGTGAGTGAGTGAATGACCGCTGTGTTATGTTTCAGGCAACGGAGTCCTTTCTGTTGAACGAAGAACCCTCCAGAGCTCCTGGGATGCCTGAGTGCTATGTAGTGTCAGATTCATACAGGGTATGCATCTATTATTATTATTATTATTATTATTATTATTATTATTATTATTATTATTATTGCCATTAACATTATTTATGGAATTATTACCATTATCACCTCTGCATTTGTGTGTGTGTGGATGTTTGTTTTGGTATTAATTAGGGGTGTAACGAGATTTCATAGCACGAGATCCTATATTAAAATCTTAGGATATTTCTTATCAAGATGAGGTCTTTCTCGCAAAATGCTATGTAATTGCTATTGCAATTCAAGCTAGTAGCTGGGGCCGGCTAACTGTTAGGTGCTAACAATGCTTAAGTTGACATTTGTTTTTTAGCTTCTTATTAGGACAAAATTAAGAACTCCTTCACTTAGGGTGCATTCACACCAGCCCTGTTTAGATTGCTTTTATCAAACTCTAGTTTGTTGCTTACAAAGTCCGGTTCATTTGGGAAGGTGTGAATGCGAATTCTGATACGGATCAAAACAGTGAACTATGGTCCGTCTGCAACCCGCGCTCTCAGTTCGATTGAAGTGAACTCTGGAGTGGTTCAAATGCGTATACGAATGTCAATCAGACCGGAGACTGCTCCAAAAGCTGGAAGTAGACCATAGAGCAGGGCATTCTGGGTAAATACAACTAAAACAGATGTGTGTTTCTAGGCCTAGTGAGGAAAAATGGGTCGTGGTCTTAAGCCAAAAACAAAAGAGAAATTCTACAACTGCTAAAATCTGAGGCCACTCCATTTTTGTTTACATTTCGTGAAGAAGGAAGCTGTGCTCATTGTCTCCTTCAGAGGGTTTGCTCTTGTTTTTTTCGCTGGTTCTTGGTGCAGCGCCACCACAGGCGAGGGAGGTAAACTGTTTTTTCACAGTATTTCTTTAACACAGCAGCTGAAAATGTAATAAATGTTGCAATTTTGGTCCCCAGTCAAGCCAAATCTACCAAACTATCAGGTGTGAAAACAATGTTAGTCGTTTACTTCATCAACACGGGTGTTTCTGAACATTTCTCTTCTCTGTTTTGTTGCAGTTTTCATGAAAATGTGGTGTCTTAAAAATGAGGAAAATCTAAAATTAAAAAAAAAAACTTAATGCAGCCATCTATGTTTTTATTTATTTATTTTTTGGTAATCAGTCTTACTTTACCATGACAAATGTGGGCTGGAAAGGTTACTAACACCATCAGAAAACATAAACTAGTCTGGATCTATTTGATTTGCACTTGCAAATTTTTCTTTTCAATGTGACTCGAAGTTATTCAGATAAATTCTGCCTATTTGCAATTTTTTTTTCTTGGAGCATATCTGAGTTATTTGGAAGACAATTTTGAATTCCAGCTTGTGAGGCTGCTACTTGACCTGCTGTTAGCTGTGGTGTTTGAAACAGCCAATCCAGGAGCTGCTTTTACTTTCCTTGGTGCTGATTGACTGAACATCCCAGAGCGGAAATAAGGAAGATAGCATCTGTGCTAGAAGCTTAAAGAGTTTCCACTGTGTTTATTAATGCATGTTACAGTATATTTGGTGCTTGTTGTCAAAAATGTGTAGAGCTGCTTATTTTTATAGTTCAGAGCCTGAAGTTCAAGTTTTATTTTAAAACCACAATATATGGGAGAGTTAACCTTGGACCAAAATATTCTACACTAAATACCGAAGTGGTTTGACAAACCTTTCCACATTTTGAAAGGCAAAAAAAAACCAGTGAATCTTAATTTCCCCCTACATTTTAAAAAAAAACCCGTTCCCCCGGGAGCCTGTAGTATCACATATCGTTTCATCTCGTGAACTGAATGTTTCGTTACACCTCTAGTATTAAATGTGTTCAAGTCATTACTCTGAACTCTGTCCGTCTGTTTTCGAGCTCTTCGTAATTACACTACAATCATAATGTCATTCACAGCTCCCTCCACTCATCTGCAAACCATTACCATTATTATTTCCACACACACGCACACACACACACACGCACACACACACACACACACACACACACACACACACGTGCGCACGCGTGGAAGAGAAAGAGGAAAAAAAGGGGAGCCTTTGCAATTTTGCCCAGGGTTCTTTGCCCCTATGGGTTAAAAATCTAGAATGTTAATGTGCAGCTTGCCATGTTATGTGAAAGGAATTAAAAAGTTTAAGACAGCAAGTGGTTTCTATAAAAAAAAAAAAGAAGTACAGAATTTCTCTGGTGGAATCGTGATCTGAGTCACATTTTCTACGGCTGAGCTCGCTTTGTTTCCCTGAGTTAAACACCAACGGCGAGTGCTGCGCCACGTTGTGTGTTTCAGCGTACAGAAAAGCACCTTTTTAGCTGCAGAAGAGTGTTTCAAGAAGTTTAGGATTCAAGGTGATCAGAAACATCAAGATCGTCCCGCAGGTCAGATCCCACCAAGATACGCCTGTCCAGTCATGGTGTGGTTTCTGTGTTAAACGAATCCCTCCACTGGCTTGTCATATGCCAGGCTTTAACAATTTAGTTTTGTTTTTGTTTTTTATTTAAGGTGCAGCTGAGTAGAAATGTGAAGACATACTGGTAAAATTGTCCTCATAAAGTGATAGTTTAGTATATCTAAAAGGAGGTTCTAATAAAAAAAAGAAAAAAAAAGTAAAAGCATTTAATTTTTTCCTAACTCTATTCTTTGTTTTACATAGATCCATATCAGTTGGTTAGTTTTAAAAATAATTCCCAGCCACGGAAACATCAGAGTGATTTGTATAAGCTCTACTTCTGTAATCTTTAAACAGTCGTCACGTTTTCATTGGATGGATATTTACAGTGAAGCTGATGATTGATCACACGATGAAAGTTGGAAGCCGTGCGACACTATTAATTTTCCTGTGTGAAATTTGTACCAAGACTGGAAGACATAAAGCGTTTATATTTTTTTAGGTAACAGACTGATTAAAAAAAAAAAAACATGTAAAAACTATAAAATGCTGTGCTCCTGAACTGCTTTATCCTCTTTGCTTTTTACAGTGCTGTCCGTTAGCTGCTTCGTAGCTAACGGTTAGCCAACATTTTCAGCGTCGTTACACAAAAGAGCCATTTTAGTTTTCTTTTAAATTTGGATTGCATTTAATCACCTCCAGTTCTAAATATACTTCCTTACATGTCCCTTCTTTTTAATTTTTTTGTTGTTAAAACGGGACTTTAAAGGCTCCGGCTGCACTGGTAACTACATTTAAAAGTTCTTAGGCGGGGATTCCCCTTCGGTTGAGAGCCACCACTTTAAGCAAAAGCCCTGCATGTGCGAGGTATGTAAACAATGGGCTGGCGGAGCTCACATCTGCTCAGCCAAACAAGCCAACCGCACTTTGGCTTATCTGCACTTTCTGCTGTTATCCCATCTCCTTCTACACCCCAACACACAGGTGTGGCGTCGGCAGCGCGATACTGTTTGTGGATGAGCAGTTTATGCAAATGTTAGGTCGGCTACCTTGAATAACCTGTTTCACACACCAAAACTGCTTCTTTATTACACAGTATCACAAAATGTGCTCACACCTATTGAACTCATTCCCATTTTGTCACCAAAACTCCACAACATCAGAGGACTTTATGTCATAAACCATGAAAAAGGATGTAGGATTTCATTTTTTCTTTCTTTTTTTTTTAGCAATTAAAAATCTAAAATGTACACCATGGATTTGTATTGGGTCCCCTTTATTTTAATCCCTTGCAACCAGCTGACTTCTGAATCTTTTATCTTCCAATAAACTCAGACTGGCTCTCTTAGCTCTGTTGAGGAAAAGCAAACGTACAGCATCTTACTCTCCCTGCAGTGCTTCATCATGAGGATTAGTCTGTGCAGAGTTAGCTGTATTTATACTGAGGTAGCGTAAGATGTTATGGGCAGAATTTTCTTTAGCAGCTGGGCTAAATGAAATGGTTTTACACTAGCACAGGGCTCCAATTTTTTTGTGGGTGCCACCAATTTTTTATTTATTCTTTATTTTTTTAATACATGTTTTTTCAGCAATTATACTGTAGAAACGTTAGAAAGGGTTTACAGGGGCTCTAGCCCAGGGCTCCATCTTCTTGGGGGTGCGCTCACAGATTTTTTTCCTTTTAAATAAATTAATGTTTTGCAGACATTGTACTTTCTTTATTAGTCATAAATCCATATCAGGGTGAGTTGTAATAATTTTTGGGGAATTTTATAAAAATAAACAATTCTCAAGTATTTGATTAGAGTATTTGTAATTTACTTCAAGAACAACATGGAGCTATTGGCCAAGGGGTATATTAATCCTGCCACCATGAGTTCATACCAAATTATGTATAAAACCACCTATAAATGCACTGTAATCTGCATTAGCAAAATCATTTTCATGGTGTTCAGGGCCCCAAAACAGTTTCCAGCTCAGGCCACATCCTTGTAAATCCGACCCTGGATATAACATTAAACAAAATGTCACATATTTTTGCAAATCCTTTACATTTCAGTTAACAGTGCTGTGTGTTCAAGAGGTCCGAACGCTTTCAGATGGCACTGTACGAAGAGGACGGCTCTCTGAAATGTTTTTTTGTTTTTCTTAAATAAAAAGCTTCAGATGTGACTTTCCCATACAGCAGCACCAAGCTGGTGGGTGAAGCTGTTACTGGGCTGGCTGCTCTGGAGCAGTGGTAAATATGTATATTCGAAGCGTGTGAAAAAGCAGAGCCACAGCAGACCCACCAACCGAAGCATATGGCTCTACCATGTGTTACTTAATGAGAGATTTACTCACACAGACCACTAAATGTGTGGCTCATTTAAGGAGCCGCGGCAGAGGAGTGTTATTGCGTGTGTTGCATGCGTAAAGCCAAGCGGAGGGCTGCGAGGACGCGCTCTAACCTTTTGCACTCTTACGTTTCAGATGACAGCTGCGAAAGTTAGCCGAGAAACAAAGGAAAAAACCCCTGAAAAATTACAGGGAGTTCTTAGGAAGTCAGTGCACCTGCATGAAAAGACACCAAAAAAAAAGTATCTGTGTGTGTGTGTGTGTTTTTGGGGGTGACTGGGCATGTGC